GGCTCTTATCACACCCTAGCCACCCAAACGCCACTTGACCTAATTCTCTACCTGTCCGCCCCATCCCGTTCTCGCTTCCTACCCTCCATGACTCTGGGTCCTGATTCCCCACGTATTTACAACCATCTGTAAAACTCAGCATATGGCTCAGTTCCATCACTCCCGATCTTAATTACCATCTTTATTTGCCTCTTTCTGTCCAGTAACCTGGATCCCATCATTTCACATCTTACTTTCCTATCGACAACAGCTTCTCTCCAATTCACTAGTTCCCTCCACTCTAGGACCTTTACCAGCTATCCTATTCCCATCACTCTAGAACCCAATTCTCCACATATCCATCTAGGCGCTAACTGCCTACATCAGTTGCTTCTAGCCTTCCAGTTGTTATCGATCCAGAATCTAAATTTTTACCTATCTACCTCAGTCTCATCAAGTTTCCTACCTCACATTGCACAAGAACTCGACTTCTTTGCCTATTTGCTTCACTGCCTTCCAGATTTTATTTTCCATGGCTCCAGATCCCATATTTCCACCTACTTCAATTCCTTCTTATTACCCAGGTTCCACCACTGCCGAACCTAATTATCCACCCTTCTACCTCAGTCCCTTCAAGATTTCGAGTTTCAATCAACTTAGAGCCTATTTATTTATCTATCTACCCCAGTTTTTCTACAAACGTTTATTTCATATCACACCAAAATCTAAATCTCTTTCAATCTACCTTAATTCTTTCTAGCTGGCAGCTCGATCTAGAACCTTCACCTCTACATATTCACCTCGGTTACTCCTATTTATCCAGTTTCCATCACCCTAGAACCTACTTCTCTGAAAACCAGCCTCATTCCCTCTCCAAATGTCTAGTTGCCATCGATACACCCTAATTCTCCAGTCGTCTACCTCATTTTCTTCCAGTTTAGCGGTATTCATCACTCCAAAGCCTAATTATCCAGCCATGTACCTCAGTCTCAAACCAGGTTTCTAACTCCTATCGCCCAAAAATGCAATTCTTTACAAAGCAGACTTAATTCTCCTCCAAACACCCACTTTCAGCCTCAAATATCATAGCCCTCTACACATCTGCATCACTTCCTCAACAGCTATCTACTTTCCATCACTTTGCGAATTGGGCCTCCAGAACCTTAGCTCACTAACCCATTTTCTCTCGAGCCCCCCATTTTTATCTAAGCCTTTGTCGCCAGGCCTCCTCACTTCACCGTGTAGCATTTATCCCCTCACATGTGTCAAAAGGAAGGAAGATGGGGTTGGGAGATAAAGAGGGGACAAATAAATGCCTAGAGAAAGATAGACGCACAGATACAAATATTTAAGGAAATAACTAAGCAATAAGTGAGTAAATAAATAACATATAATAGACTAGTAGGAAAGCAACAAACTTACCATTTGCCGATTCCAAAGCTTCGAAGAA